TAAACTGGTTTAAATGATCAGAAACTGGTTTAAACCTGTAACAGAACAGATGTTCAGTACACATAAACCAGTTTGAAAATGGCTGAAACCAGTTTGCGATAAACCTGGTTGAATGTAGCATCAGGCTTAACTGATTTGGGTCAAATTGGTTTATGCAATATCTGTCCTAGACCCCTTCTTAGTTTAACTTAAACCGGAGTCCCTCAGCATCCAAGATGCTTTGCAGCCCTGAGCAGGGATCTCTGTTCCACAGCAGGGCTGGCCCCACCCCTCTGCTCCCTGGCAGAGACTTGCAGGCACAGCAATGTCTGCCTGGCTTCCCCTTGCCCAACCCTCCCCCCTTACAACTCCCTGCTCAAATAGGGACTCCCTCCTCCCCTCTCCCACATCACGGACAGTAGCCAACATGTGGTATGCTAGCTAATGCTGAGTGGTGTGTGTGTAAGGCAGTCAGGACAAAGGCAGATAGGACAGTGTCTGCTTAGCACTTTTTGGAGCTAATCAGCAGGTCAACTGCTAATGTTCCTTCATTCCTTCCTTGGAAAAAGTTGTTTAAGAAGAGTTTGAACTAATGCAAGAGGCTTTTGTTTTCTTGATGGGGTGCTAAATGCTGTGTTACTCCCTTTGTAACTCCTTGCTGTGTAACTAAATGCTATACAACTCTCTGCTGGCTCCCTTGCTGGTCAGGAGCAGCTGGGGAGGGGGGCCCTCCCTAATCAGAGCATCCTACCGAGACCTAGCCACGCCCCCCCCCATCTCAGCACTGTGGAAGGGAAGAGAGGGTTCTAGCTTGAGCCACTGCACTCAGGCTTCTAGCCTGAGCCACTGAAGACATGTGCCTGCATTTCTTTAGTCCAAAGAGGATGTCTGTACAGTTACAAACCAGGTCAGCCTAGCCAGGTTGACTAACCTGCAAAGATTGAATCAATTCAGGCTCAGGCTTTTTGAATGTCTGTTCCTAGCCCAGGTGTTCTTGTCATGAGTCTTGGGAAGATCCAAACATTTATATACAGATGAGATCTAGGGCAACCTGGTCTGGCTACACCTCATGAAGGGTGAAGCCATACTAATCATATGTAACAGGGTAAGAGAGGAGGTGACAGAGGGATCCTGGGAACTGTTTGTGGCCCCCTTTGGTGATATTTACTAAACATTTAAAGCTGGTAAAGAAATAGGAATAATTGGAAATGGGAAAGAAAGGTACAGCTCAGCTGTGGGTGAGAGTGAAGAGGAAATAAAAATGTATTCAGCGAAGTGGCTCACCATGACTTGAAATAATCAGCACTGAGGGGGACTGCATGCAGTGAGCACTACCATGTATCTTATTCAGATGGTCTGCACTACACTAGCCTTGTACTTAATCATCTTCACTATTGCTTTCCATTACTGAGTTCATACTATTTTTGGCAGCAGCGTACTGATAGACAATATATTTAATGAAGTTTCCTTATATGTGAATACAAGACAAGGGGTTTCCCCCGCATGCTGACTAGGGGGAAAAAGCCCATCTTATATTTGAGTGACTACTGTATTTATCACCACGGGTGCCTACAGATGTGTGCAATGCCTTCTCCGATGCACTGTAATTGCAGCACATAAGAGTAGACTTGATTAATTAAGTCTGCTGGAGTGTGCTAATTTGCATGCTCCAGCAGCCTCAGTGTCTCATGTACTCAGCACCGCTGTACTTCAAAATGGTGACGGGGGCAAGTTAACTAAAGCTCGTCAAACAAACTTTAGTTAAAGGGCCCCTGCTGGCATTCTGAAGTGCAGGATGCTGAATACATGAGATGCCATAGGTGCTTTAGTTAGAGCGGTGCCTGAGAGCCACTCTAATTAAAGCTCCCCCCCCCCCCCCCCCCCCATGTAAAGAACACACACACACCAAACACGTGTAATGTTGCCCTGTATCCTTGCATTTTCTTTTTTCTTTCCGAGTTTGCATTGGAACAACTTGCCATAACTCTTTTGAAAAAGTGATTAATTTTCCTGCATTTCATTTCTTGTGATTTGGCAATACAGTTGCAAAGCGCTTGTTAGGCACTTGGGCCTTCCCTTACAAAGTGCTCACTGTTCCAAGTTAGCAACACACATTGTTATAAATCACATTTGTACATTATGCTTTCATAAGGTCTTGCAGTGTCCTGAAGAAAGTGAATCCATGTACATACAGGTACAACTTTTACAGTTTTCTTTGTAACCAGAACAGTCAACACTCTACTGAACATACTTACATCTTGGGCTGGCCTACACTAAACTAGATGAGATTCTCTGGTTACAACACCACAGTGATACACCATTCCAGGGCTTACACCACTTACCTATTTTTTATTTTAATTTTACTGATTTTTTTCTCCATCATTTCTTATAGAACTTTGACCATAGAATCCCTTCTAAAAACTGTTTTGAGAATTACAATCCAAAGGTAAGAAATCCAACTATAACTAGTAGCTACAGAATATTTGCTAAATTTGCCTTTAGAAATTGGAATTTGCCATTAGAACAGTGGTCCAGGAGAATGGCAAGGGTTAATTGGATCCAATAGTTTGTTTGCGGCGGAGATTTACATTCTCAGCATTTTAGCATCCAAGGGTCCAAAGTTAGCAGACAGACAGACACAGACATACATCCTGGGAAAATGGAAATATTCAACACCAAAACAAACACTTTGTTCCCTTAGAACTGATAACAAAATAGGAATACACAGAATTAGCATCAGGTCACAGTGACCAGCTGTAACTTGTTGAACAGCCCTTGGGATCCTGGTTTTGGTGGCATGACCAAATTTGGAGACC